TTCTATTGAACAAGAACAATATTTTGAATGCTGGAAACTAGTAACCATTGACAATAGAGATAAAGAATTACTGTAATGGGTACAAAAAATACAATGGAAGTCAATTGCTTGTTTCCAGCACTCCTCATAGGTATCTTAAATTGTGTCCAACAGATGAAACAAACTGAAACGAAAGGGTGAATAAATGATAGCAGGTGTAAAGAGGTCCTGCATAAGCAAAGTAATACGGTTTAGAGTTGGAGAGGTCAGTGGGACAGATCCAGCCATGTCTCTTTCCTTTCTTATTCAGGCCATGTACAGGTCCTACTTTAATCTGTGTCTCTATAGATCAGTCTGGCAGCTGCGAGGTAATTGTAGAGGGCTAAATGGAGGTGGAGCTTGTGTGTGTGAGTGTTGAGGTACCTCCTTCCTCATTAGGGCACAGCTGCTTCCCCTTCTGTGTTCGCAGGTGAACTGAGCGACGTCTTCTTTCCCTCCCTCGGGCGCCGTGTCACATCCCTTATTGTGCCTGTTGGCAGGGCAGTAATTAAGCACAAACAAAACAGGGAGTCTAATACTGTGCATGTGGTGTCTGTGTGCAAATGATGCTCTTATGGCACACCCACCGTCTCTAACATGTTGCACAGGAGGAAAACGGACAGTCATTTAATGTAGGCCGCTGCTGTCCCCCTCATCCGCCTCAGCACAGCTGTTGAGTGGGCAGTGGATGGAGGAGAACGGCGAGCTCAGGCAGATGGATGCTGAAGGCTCGGTCTTAGTCATACGTGACTTTTCTGCAGAAAACAGCCTCATGCTCAAGCGCTTGTGTAACGCCACATCTGAGGACTTAGAGTTGAGTTTGACACTTTGCTGAGGGGCAGTGTTTCCAAAAGAGGAAAGGGAGAGAACGGTTGGTTTCTGGCGTTCAGCTGTCTGAGCTGAAAACAGATAGAGATCCTAACAATGGTTTGGGTGGAGCATCTTCATATAAAGTCGCCAATCGCAATGACATCTAGTCATTTAGCAGATTCTTTTCTCCTCTACAATTATATTCGTTTTTTATATTGTTAGTTTCATCTAATGAGTAAAAATCTGAATCTAATTGGAAAACATGCCTTGGCCATTTTAGATTTTTGTGAACGTAATTGCCAGCTCTAATCTGGTTTTTCAATGATGTATTATTTAGAAATAATATTAAAACAACTCAATTAGAACAAGGCAAAGAACAGACAAGTCAATTCATATGCATAATAGGAAAATGTGTATTTATAAAGATCACTAAAAGAATGATTGGAAATTTGCTACAGTTAAAATATTTAAGCTTTGTACAGGGTATCTGCTGGAATCCTAAAGGTAATTCCAATACCTTAAGCAATTTTAAAGACCTCAGAATATTTGAAGTCCTTATCACCACTTTAAGTTTTAACCTTTAACTTCAGTTGTTAATAAACAGTTTAAGTTAAATAGCACATCCATGCAACAGAGCTTGAAAGATTAAATTACGAGTTTTTTTTCAGCAACAGGCTTCAGAACTATCATTTACCATCTTTAATATAGTGCAAGATGTCAAAATGGTGAATCTGCAGACAGACTTACAGGAATATGAGCATAAATAAGCAATGGCTATTAAAGCAGTGTTTTGTACTAATTTCTTGTCCACAGAAAAACATCAGAGTCGCTGTAGCTTTGTGAATCTTTCCTCTATATATAATTCTAGGTATGGGCAAACTTGGTCCTGGAGGGCGGGTGTCCTGCGGAGTTTAGATCCAACCCAAATCAAACATACATTCTATAGTTTTCTAGTAATCTTGAAGCCAATGATTAGCATGTTCAGGTGTGTTTGATTCATGTTGGAGCAAAACTCTGCAGGACATCAGCTTTCCAGGACCAAGTTTGCCCCTCCCTAACCAGCATCAGTACTATTGTCTCACCTCCTGCAGAAATGCTTGGTCAATGTCAGAGATGTAGGGCTATCACGATATCTATTTTTTTGCTGGGCAATATATTGTACCCAAATTGATTGCGATAAATGATATGATTGCCACTTTATAACTTATATCTATATATCTATTACCTAATAAAAAATAATACATTTTTACAACATAATTGTGTAATAATTCAGGTACACTGTTTCAAAGAACATTTTATTTTAAGAATATTTAAATGTCTGAAATTGAAACATGAAAAAAATATCTTAAAAAAACAAATAATTATAATAAATAGTAGATGTAAACAAAAAGTGCCTTTTAAAGCATCTCAGGCACCTTTTTTAAACAATCAGGTAGATTCCGAGACAGGACTGTTTATTAAAGGTTTGCACCAATTTTTATGCTGGTTTTTCGAGTGTGTTTAACAGCTGCATCTTTTTAGCTAACTAATGGTACCTGTCTGTGAGTGTGCGCCATTTTGTGCTGACATGTTTATATTTGCACTGCCAGGTAAAACTGGCACATCCATTACAGTTAACTGTCTGGAAGACCCCTCTCCAGTACCAACTACAGTTGTTGTTCCCATGTTAAAAAAAATGGGTAGGGTGGTTATGTTTTAGGTGTGATTTAAGGTTATTTGTGTTGCCTTTATTTATTGCCACTGTTCTGAAACAAATTCGACATATCGGCTTGTTCACATTAACGGGCTCTCCTTTTTCATTGTTCCCACATCGGAGCTGAAGACTGTGACTTAGAAACCAAGTCCATCGCAACTTGTTTATCCTAACTGACTGTAGCTCCTAAACACGAATCAGTGGGTTCGCGTCTTGTCTTCTTCACATCCACTATCCACTGTCTCTTGCATTCTGTCTGAGTCTGTGCGTGGAGATGCAGCATAAGCCCTACCTTCCACATAAAGCAGAATGCAGCGCCTTTGACAAAAAAACTTAGCTTGTTATATTATGTGGCATAATCATCATCATCTTAAATTTCTTCATTTATAATAGACAATATGTCGCACCTCCAAAATTAACCACCCTCATTTTCATATATCGTGCAATAAGTCATTATATCGACAAGCCTACACAGATGCAGTAATTTTTAAAAATAGATAAAAAAAATACTAGGCTACTGTGAGGGATGTTGTCAATCATCCCAGATGTGACTTAGTGGATCATTCACTTTGACCCACTAAGTGAGATAAAACAATTGATTCAAATAAACAAGGTCACCAATTGCATTTTACGAATCCCCACAACACCCTACGGTCAAATAGACTGTGCTTATGTTTGGATGATATGGTGTTTTTTCTTTAAAAAAAAAATCCCCAAACTTTTGAATGGTTGACATTTTATCTGTAATACCAACAATTTCATATAAATTGGAATGATTGTAGTGTTAGTTCATGTATCTCCACATTTGGGGTTTGAATAGACAAGCTTTGTTTCGTCTCCAGATCTTTCGCCACTGTTCCTGCATCCCTCTTCTCTCAGCGGCCATGTGAAAGAGAAGGAACATTAAGCGTAATCCTTTGCATTATTAAGCAAGTGTACCTGTCCCCCGTGCTTTTTATCACATTTTGGTGGACTGCTAATCTCAATGTCCATGATAGTTGTGACATTTTATACATTACCTGTCAGCTTACAGAATGCGAGATGAAGCAGCATGGATTACTTTACCCAGCGGCCCATGTCTTCCAGGATCTCCTTGTTATTATTCCTTCTCTCTCTAGAGTTGAGCAGACAGATGCCGCTGCCGGCCTTTAGCAAGGGTTGTGTTGTGCACTCCTGCTGCAACACATTACCTCCATGTCTCCCAGCTTTCCAGCGGCAGCAGCACACAAACCAGCTCTGTAACGTCAGGGATCTAAATTATTCACCCGCACTGACCTACTTGCAGGGTGTTTGAGAGCTGGGAGTTGAACAGATATTGCTGCAAGGAAAATGGCAACCATGTGATTGTGGCAAGCACTTTGAAACAACTGTGCAGGATACCCTCCCACTTTCCCTTTCTTCTACCTCTCTCTCTCTTTCCTTGTTCAGTGTGGTCTGCGTGGCTGTGATGATGGTGAAAGGTCCTGATTGGCGTGGGCATTGCCCCGCAGCCTGTGGGCAGACTGTGTGAGCTCAGAGACAAATCGATGTCTTCCCTCCCTGCGTGCACGCACACACTCACTCACCCAGCCCTGCATTTCTGTTGGGACAAACACACATGCATGTACACGTTTGGCCAGCTGGCAAATGTATACACACTCTGGCTAATTGCAGAGAGAGAGAGAGAGAAGTGTGAAGACTGGCACTAAATGGATGCCACCAAAGCGACGTCGTCAGATAGAATTTTCTTCCGTGGTGCTGAGAGGAACATCGAGCTCGCTGCCTTTTTGCATAGTTGATGGAGAATTCCTGCACGGAGAGACGTTCTGAGCTATTAAACCACAGTCGGATAGCATCTTTGGAATTCAAACCGTGAAATCTCAACATGGCTTTCTTTCCCTTCGGAACCATCACTGGAACAGAGGCAAGATTTCCTTCAGTTTGTGTTGTTGCGCGCATCTTGGCGCTGTGTGCTGTCATTGATAGGGCTTGTGTGTAGATTTGCTTCCTATGGTTTTATGTCAGATTAGAAAGCACATTTGATGAGATTGTTTTCCAGCGGGACGGAAGGATGTGAGGGGAATTGATGCTCCTTACTCCACATGTTCCTGCATGGCTGTCTTTATAAAACAACTGCCGGCAAAATAGTATTCGTCAGGGGATTTGGGAAGTCTTTATGTACGTGTTTGTGCTGTTCTGATCGATATTTTCAACTGCCTTGATGTGGAACTCTCTAGACTGTACTCTAAGGCGATTTGGCGTGTTATAATCCACCGAAAGGTTCATTTTTGTGGAAAAGTTGTGACCTTTGACGGTCAGGACAACTTTGATCACATCTGTGAGTCAAAGCTCAGAGGACCTGTCAGAGTGGCAGTGGAAAGGACATTTCCTCGTCTCTCACAGCGTGAGGCCTTAGATGACACAGCAGCCCTATAAAACTGTAATGATGCCACAATGTGTTTTTGACTAACCCTTCATCTCTTCTGTCTCTCTGGTACAGGACGATCTTCTCGTAGCGTCTGCAGAATGCCCCAGCGATGATGAGGACATTGACCCTTGCGACCCAAGTTCAGGTGGGTTAGGTTAGTCATCTTTCTTTTATATTATTACTGTCCATGTGTGTTCTATGTTTTCTCATCGTTCTTTTTGAAACCAGTGCATGAAAAAGTTAAAAGAAAGGAAATTTATGTCTGATCACTGTAGTTTGAGGTAAGAATCAGCAGATCGTTTTTCATGTGAACAAATAGTTTAAAACACCAAATGGCATCATCATTCTGAAGAGAACACAGCGCACCAGAAAAATGAAAACAATCCGAGAAATAATGTTTCCACCATGTCATGCGCAACGAGATTTCAGTGACAAGTAATTTTCCTGCCCACAGAGAATGCTTAAAATTCAACACAACACCCCAGCCAGTCAGAACAGCGTGGCTTAGCTGAAGAGCGTAAAACCTAGAACACATCTTGTGTTTTCAGCACTTCCATGATGCTTCTTCAGGCAGCATCCATTTTATAGTGTTCCTCATGGATCTTGAGGGATTTGTCATATCCGATGTTTCTCAGCTTCCAAAAACAACCTCTCCTAGGCTTATCCATGTTTGATGTTTAATAATGCGGCACTATGGTGTAGGAAGAGTATACGAGGACTGACAAAATGAAGTGGCGTTCAGTACTCATCGCAGCTAGTTTGAACAGGAACTCGGATTAACTTTAAAAAGCTTTTATGGTTTTGTTATTACAATGCGCCGTTACCTGAGCTGAACTGTTGATTGTGCTCTTTTATCAAAGTGATCGTAGTGTGTGCTGAGTTTATATAAGTTTTTGTAATCGGACTTTGCCTCTTTAAACAGGCATTAATATCTCATTAAACCACATTAAATCATTTACCCTGTTTATGTGCTGTAAATATAGTATTTTAATTTTCTTTTCGCCACAGAGGGAGCTCACTGCTTAGATTAGTTTTTAAATAGGTCATTACACTTAAACCTGTCATCGGTATCTTTGAAATTGTCCCTGATTTATCCATTCAATTACATATCCAAAAGTCTGTATTTTTCCATCCTTGTACTCATGGATGCCTATTCTTTAATTTTGTGTTGGCTAAAGAGCAAAACCAAGCAAATTTTGTTGAGGTGTACTTTATACTTGTCAACATTGGGATGTGAAAATAAGGGAAATGCCCACCATAATAAGGGATTCTTGCCCCCCATAACCCTGTAATGAAAAGAAAGGGGAATCGCGCTGTTTTATATTTGATTCAAAGTGTTTTCTTGCCTAAACAAAGCGAAAGCAAAGAACAGACTCACATTTTAGAGCAAGGGGTGGCCCCTGGTGGTTCGGTGGTATGGGTTGCGTATAGGGAGGCTCAGCTCTTTAATGTTTCTTGCCACCCTTCAGAGAAAGACTGAAAATACAGGAGAAATACGAGAAAATACCTTTACGGGATTATAGCAAGATACAGGAGAGTCCCAGGAAAAAGGGTTGACAGGTATGGTGTACTTTCAGAAAAGGCCAACAAGCATGCTAGCGTAGCGCATACTGCTTTTCCCATTTCTCCACACAGCAGGCGCATCTTGGCTACGCAGTCAACTGCACAAACCATTTTCGACAAGAAAAATGAAGCGCAAAGGTTAACCCTATCTGGATTACTTTAGCTGGCTTAGTTACAGGGGCTAGTGGCTCATGCAGCAGTCATATGTGTAGGGCAAGTAAAGCAAATCCATGACAAACCATGCAGCAATCTTTCTAATAAGCACAGAAACACAAAATGTTGACCGAAGCTGAAAGGTCTCTGATAAACGATGTTACGGATCCTCAAAGTGTCCTCCTTCCACACTCCATTTCTAAAAACAGATGTTTGAGCAGAGGTCGCCATCCATAATTCCCTGCTGTACTTTGTCATCATCTCATTTCCTGCACCTGCGGGTTGCAGCGAATCGGGTCTAAGCTGTAAACGGCTTTGTCACAGGTGTTGTTTTGCCGAACGTTTACACTCAGCCTGCAGCCGCGCTGTCTCGCAGTTACTGTCTTCTCTCCAAGAGACATAAATCAGAACAAACTATACCACACTATTCCACTCACCGCACCGCTCTCTCTGCCAGGAATAAATAGCCAGCGTGCAAGGTTCACTCACTGGTCACAGCTCATGGAAAATGTGTGACATATCCATCCTGATCGCTCTATCTGCATCAACCAGATGCGTTTTGTGACGAAGGCAAAGTGTGTTAGCACAAGCTT